GATAATGTACGAGAGATTTTAATCAAGCCAGACATAGAAAAGCCATACGACGCATTAAAACAGGCAGTGATTAAAGCCGTCTCATTAAGCGACCGGCAAGCCATCGAACAGCTTCTCAGTCAAGTGCAGATAGGAGATAGGACTCCATCGCAGTTAAAAAACTATATGAGAAGCGTAATCGGAGACAGAAAAGTAGATAAAAACATATTTTATCAGTTGTGGTTACGACGGCTCCCAGCGAACGTGCAGCAGATCCTTGCGGTTGAGGACAGCGATGTCGATATAGACAACATTGCTAAAATAGCCGATAGGATTTATGAGAGAACGAAACAAACGAGTCCGCAAGGGCATAGTACCGCAATAGATGGACGAATCGATGCATTACAAAAGGAGATTAATGTTTTATGCCACAAGCTGATGAAACTAAATCAGAGCGATACGCAAAGAGGATGGTCACGAAGTAGATCAAGGGAAAGAAGTCGATCACGTTCTAGGAGACGCTCAGCTCCTACAATATGTTGGTACCATCAAACTTTCGGCGATAAAGCTCGAAACTGTAGATCACCATGTAAATTCAAACGAACACACCGATTGTCGATAACCGCCGCAACAACTACAACAGCTCCTAGAAACAGTCGTTTATTTTACGTTCAGGATAGAGTAACAGGCGCTCAATTCTTAGTGGATACGGGAGCAGAAGTAAGCGTCGTGCCTCCAGTAAGCAACGAAACACGAAATATCGATACAGCGCTAACGCTTAAGGCAGCAAATAAATCCGATATAAAAACATATGGCAAGCGAAAAGTAACATTGAATTTCGGTCGTACTACCTCATTCCGCTGGGAATTCATTATCGCAGATGTATCAGTACCTATAATTGGTATTGATTTCTTAAAGAATTTTGACTTACTAGTGGATACCCGACGAAACCGGCTCGTGAACGGCGACCATTCAGTAGTGATAAGAGGAGTGACGACTGATCACGCATCCATGAATTTAGTAGTGTCAAAAGACAAAAACGAGCCATATAGATCACTTCTAAACGAGTATGCCGATCTGACGAAGGTATCATACGATAACAGAGATCTTAAACATACGGTACAGCACCATATTATAACGAAAGGTCCACCGACTAAATCAAGACCACGAAGGCTAGACCCGAAAAGGTTGAATGTCGCGAAACGAGAGTTCGAAAAGTTGACGAAGCTTGGTATCATAAGACCTTCTAATAGTCCGTGGGCGTCCCCATTGCATATGGTTTCGAAGAAGAATGGGGAAATCAGGCCATGCGGAGACTATAGAGCCCTTAACAAGCAAACGATAGCAGACAGATATCCGATACCACATATCCACGACATTACTACCAATATGGAAGGTGCCACGATATTTTCGAAAATCGATCTCGTTCGAGCTTATTACCATATTCCCGTAGCGGCAGAAGATATATCTAAAACGGCTATAATTACTCCATTTGGGTTATTCGAGTTTTTGCGAATGCCCTTCGGATTAACTAATGCAGCCCAAACCTTCCAAAGATTCATCGATCAGGTCGTCAGGGGTTTGACAGGAGTTCACGCATATATCGATGATATACTAGTAGCTAGCTCTACCAGGGAAGAACATCTACAACATCTACGACAGTTGTTTACGAGACTTCAAGAACATGGCGTCACTATTAACGTGGAAAAGTGTGAATTTGGAAAGGAATCATTGCAATTCCTAGGTCATATGATAAATTCACATGGTATCATGCCAGTTCCGACAGAAGTCGTTGCTATTCGTAATTATCCGTTGCCCGATTCACAAAGAAAATTACGAAGATTCTTGGGGCTAATAAACTATTATAGACGATTTATCCCAAACTGCGCAGCAATATTACAGCCATTGACGGACGCCTTGCGAGGACATACTCGAACATTCCGTCTTTCAGCGGATGCTATACAGGCTTTTGAGAACGCTAAGCGAGCGCTAAACGAGAAGATGATGTTGGTACGACGAAAGAACGAAGCACCATTAGCAGTAATGACAGACGCATCGAACTTAGCAGTAGGAGCCGTTTTGCAGCAGTTAGTAAACGGTGTATGGGAGCCACTTTCATTTTTCTCGAAAAGATTAAATCCTACCCAAACGAGATATAGTACTTTTGGACGAGAATTATTAGCAATCTACTTGGCAATAAAACACTTCCGTCATATGGTCGAAGGCATAAGTTTTACCGTCTATACAGACCACAAACCGCTAACGAAAGCATTAAGCGCAAAGCAAGACAATTATTCCCCGAGAGAGATCCGACAACTAGAGTTCATTTCACAGTTCACGTCCGACATACAGTACGTTAAAGGACAAGAAAACGATGTGGCCGACGCATTGTCACGAGCAACGATAAGCACACTTATGGCAAGTGGAATCGATTATAACGGTCTAGCAAAGTTGCAGGAAAGAGACATTGAGCTAAATAAACTCAGATCCGGTGGTTCAACATCATTAGTACTCGAAGAGGTGCGGTTTGGTAACACGAAAGTAATTTGCGATACATCAACAGGCCGACCGCGACCATTTATCCCAAAAACGTTGCGACACAAAATATTCGAAAGCATGCACAACATGTCGCACCCAGGAATAAAAGCCACGATAAAGCTGATTAGTGAACGATTCGTATGGACAAACATGAATCACGATGTACGTAGTTGGACACAAGCATGCATGAAGTGCCAAAAAGTGAAGGTACATCGTCATACTAGCTCTGCAGTAGGTCCGTTTTCGCACCCAGACACTAGATTTGAACATATACACATCGATATCGTAGGACCACTGCCCGTTTCAAATGGATACAACTATATCTTTACATGCATCGATAGGTTTACACGATGGCCGGTAGCAGTGCCGATAAAAGACACCTCAGCTGAAACGGTAGCTAAAACCCTAGTCGAAAATTGGATTTCTTACTACGGTGTACCAACGATTATCACAACTGATAGAGGAGCACAATTCGAAAGCCGACTCTTTCAGCAGCTTACTGAACTCCTCGGTATTAAACGAATCCGAACGACGTCGTACCATCCAATGGCAAACGGAATGGTTGAACGCCTACATAGGCAATTAAAAGCGTCCCTTACAGCCGTCATCGTTAACAACGATTGGTCTAATAAACTTCCCCTAGTAATGTTAGCTCTAAGAACAACAATTAAACAAGACATGGGATGTTGTCCAGCCGAGTTAGTTTACGGAACTACTCTACGATTACCCGGAGAATTCTTCACTTCAAGTAAAAATGTCCCGACTGATGTAACCGGCTATGTGCAACGTCTGAGAAAGCACATGAGCGATTTAAAAATAACACCTCCCAGACCACAACAACGACGAGTATTCATGCCACAGGAACTACATAACAGCTCTCACGTATTCATCAGAAGAGATAAAGTACAACCACCTCTTCAACCGAGTTACGACGGACCATTTAAAGTGATAGAGAGGACAAATAAAACGGTTACCATAGAAAAAGCTGGGAAGACAGATGTAATTAGCATCGATCGAGTAAAGCCAGCTTTCATCGATAGCGATAATCAATCAACAAGTACAGACTCATCTAAGATGGTCATACCAGCGAAACACGAGTCCCAAAAATCAACAACGTTAACTCAACAAAACGACAAGACTCCAATAACAACAAGATCCGGCCGCAGAGTAAGATGGCCCCAACATTATGTCGCTACAATTTTCTATTAATAATAATCTACTATTTGGAATATTAATTATAACTTCTACCTCATCGTATACACATGCATTATTAAGCTCATGTTATACGCTATAAAACTCAAACTATCTTATGTACCCTTACACTTATGCGTATAATTTTTGTTTAAAATGTAAAGACAATACCGCTTTCCTTCTATTTCTTGCTATTATTTTATGTAACCTCACGGACGGGCGCAAACCAAATGTACAGCACACACCAACTTCATCTTAATTTTGTATAAGCCATTTTGCTACCCTATTCAGTCTACTATTTTTTTTATGCAAACACAGACATTTTCCATATATCTTTGTTTGCAGGGGGGAGCTATTATAGCGACTCACGTGCTAATGGGTTTATTTTCATTTAACCCAGTTAAGCCCTTTTTGTTAACTTATTTAGCGGACAAAGCCATCCGCGCTATAACAATTTATTGTATCCTTATTATTATTTTGCGCTTGTATGAAATACGTATGCTTGAATATTGATTACTGCCTACGCATTTATTCACTCTGCTAATCTTACTACTAACCGCTTATTCGATTCGATTACTCATTCATTTCACATGGTATATATATATGTCCATGTTATTCATATTGAACTCAATCGCTCACTCGCTCGCACGGTCTCGTCACGCTCTTGCTCTGGCTCTCGCTCGCTTGCTTGCCTTTCGGCACAACTCTTCTATGCTTGTTTAACACATCTGTACATTTGGATATATGTGTGTGGTTTCGCAATAAACGTAATCGACACTTCGTATTTGCCTTCTGATTAATATACCGTTGGTACGTTATATAGAACGGTTATCGCGACGAACATTATACGAAGTTTAAGGATTATATCAAATACCGACCACCACATATCCACAGAAGTAGTATATAACGATGGTCAGGCACAGAATGTATTTCAGCGGAAGATCGATAAGGAAAGAACGGAAACGGAATACAGTGGGTATGAAAATGCATGAACAATGAAATCTGAGACAATCGACTGAGATTTACAAAAGGAACAGTTAAGTTTGAGATGATGGACTGATATTTTGCAAATCAAGTGTAGACTATATGATTCTCATATTTTAATGAGATGATCTGAAATTTCGTGTTAAATACATTCGATTGTCCCCACTCGTGTTTTTGTTTACTACACTAGCTCTAAGAAGTTCCATACTAGAACAAAACAAGTATTCAGTACTTCTTAGTTTCTAATAGATGTTTAACCTAAATTAGTTCATGATTATAATTATAAAAGTAGTCAACAATTCACTTACTTTATCTTTTTCTACGAAGTCAATAAATGCAGCACGTTCTACTTCAATTGGATGTCTATTTTGATCATATAAAGCAATAATAAAATGAAAAAAATTGCTTTTACGTAAATTATTCGGTGGTTGTTTCTCGAAACGAGCCCATGCCACTTCCATTCGTGGTGTACAATGTGTATATCTATATGGATGAAAATAAGAACATTTCAATAACAAAAAGAAAACGGAAAAGACTATATTGAATATATTCATAATCATTGTTCCTTAAGATCAGTAGTTTATGAGATGATCAAGCAAATCTATATTCGAAGTGATTTTCCTTTTAATGGTATCACGTTTATCTTATAAGACATTATACAATAAAGGCAAATAGTTTACTTTGTAAAATTCAGTAATTAAACATTAGGTGATTACAAAATGAATGTTGATTGAAAATAAGTAAGAAAATTGACATATATCCAATGTAGGACTTTGTAGAGATAATAAAAATTTCATAGATTCTATATTATAAATTGATCATACTTAGACTCTTATTGAAAACCATGGAAGTATAGGACTTTCATTTCATCTTATTTCATGAATTTTCAAAATCGAATAGACATAGCCTTGGAACTGTGAATTGAACAAAAGACTTTCGACTTTAAGTGTAGATGCCTAACATTTATACCATTGAAACGATATCCAATAGTCTTAATGTCTAACTTCAATTATGAAATCGTGACTGGTGAAAATCAGATAACTTGGAGGTAAAAGGGTGAGACTCTAATTTATGGACGAGCCAATCAGAAGCGTCTGAGAGATTTCAAGGTTACGGCGCCAACTTCAGTGCTTAATGCTAACGTACGATCGGTTCACAGGGAATTTTGTAAAAAAAAAACGTGATAATTGAGCAGCCATAATAAGTAAAACGGCGAGACTATAATTTGTGAACGAATCAATCAGGTATAAGATAATAGATCTCGGATTTTAACGCGAAAGCCTTTCATCCATTTGGCTAAATAAATTTCTGGCATTATAGCTGATGTCAGTTCGTGATGAAAAACTCATATATAATTCCTAACTAAGGCAAATTACGAAAATTATCGCGAACCGGATAATAGAGGCACCAGTAATACTGGCTGCAACCAGGTAGTACAATATATACGGATGTTTGGAGAGTGTACAGACTCCTACATAGGTTTGGTTATGTGCATCGTATCGTTATCCACAAGTAGCATTTTGTGCACTCAACAACCGGAGTGCACATAAACAATATTGAAGCTATGTGGTCGAGGCTGAAAGAGTTTTGAGACCTTATCATGGCTCCAGAGGCCGACTATTCTGTAGCCATATTGGTGATTTCCTCTACTGCATGCATTACGATTTTAGAACCTCTGAACCCCTTACTAACATTGAAAAGTTTTTGAACCATGTATAACAAGTGTATCCACTTTATTTCCTTGTCTTTTTATAATATATTTCTACTCCATACTGACTGTTTGCTGATTGGCTAGTATCTCTCAGGGTCACTTAAGATTCGTTCAAAGGTCGTCCATAAACTAGAGTCTTGCCACTGTATACTAAACTAATGGTACTGATGTTTAATTATTCTCTATGAAACCTTATAAGATTGTGATGTAACAGCTATTCAATATTCATCAGTGTTCAGTGCTACTTCAAATGGGATCAATGTGTAATGAATACAAACTAAAAATTAAATGAATCTGTGAAAAATCTTTTCGGTTGAACTATTGTATGTTTGTCGTATGAATTGAAATACTAACTATTAAACTTCTTCATTTAACTAATAGAGAGCTATTCAACTGTAATTTTGTATAATACTTTAAACATTCGGCATATTACAAACTTATTTCTTTGACTTGAAATCAAAATTTTCACTAATCCTAAAGAATATGTTAAGCTGGAACATTTCTTATTTTTGGAAACGAAAAAAAACTTGGATAAATCTTATTAAGGATGATGAAAGTACTGATTATTATTATTATTATTATTATTATTACTTAATTATTACAAAGGTGACGATAATCACAGACTGATTTCAACTTGTGACTGGTCATTCACAAACCAGTTGACATTAGATTGCTTAATCATTTATGTTTGATTACTTCACACCCTAACAGGGTATCAAAAACTCAAAATTTTCATATCTTATTCTTCTCCTTCTTCTTCTGATGATGATAATGATGATGATGTTAATTAAACCACTGATTCAATGCTTAATAAATATATTAAACTGCAATATATTCTGTGGGGGGGGGTAGGGATATATATATTCATACATATATCTTTGATCACAGTAATTTTAATCCTCAATTTCGAAAAAAAACATAATAGAGAGAAAGAGAGAAGAGAATAAATGATAGGTTATCTATGTTTCCCACCCCACCCCACCACCCCCAAAAAAACTTGGTGATAATGATTACTTTAAGGAGAGAAAAGAAAAAAAGAAACGGTGTATGATAGTTACCGATATCAATTTCATTCTTATTTTGTACACTATATGATTAATTCACTGAGAGAGAATGAAATTTTTTTTAAAAAAAATAAAAATATACGTATTTATCTACAAAAAAAAATTGAAATGATCCCACCACTGGAAACAAGTTCATATTCACAGTATCTTTTTAGAGATGATGACGTAATCATTTGGAGTTTAATTACATTTTAAAATTTCTCTTTTGATGATATACCGAAAAGTGAACTCACAGAGTCACTTATACACAATCATCTTAATAATAGTTAGACAGGTGAAGTGAATAAAATAATAATGGTGTTAAAAAAAGAGATGAAAAAACCTGCAATCCGGAAGTGTTCACCTCTATAATTACATAATAAATAATGACTAGCTTAAAGATCTAACAAAAAAGAATATTTCCCATCTTTCATATTATCACATAGAAACTGTATAAATTATACTTGGTGTTGTTTTACTTGTATCTCCCCATTGTTATTTAGGACTGCAATTGATCAGTCTCTTGTTGGCATATGTGCATCCTGTGTGCATTGCCTTGATATAGCCTTAAGTCGCAAGTTTTTTTTAAGCAAAGATGGATAGTGGCTAGCAGTGGAATCCAGGACGCGTGTTTCGTTCTATTCGGAACTCGTCAGCTGGATGTACCTACATCGCAGAGTTGATATTCACTTCGGTACTCGAACCCAGTATTGTTCACCTCAAACGCCATCGCATTATCCACTTAGCTACTGAATCCTGATAGCTACCTACTTGTGCAATAGAGTGAAGCTTAAATTCACTTGGTGTTGTTTTACTTGAATCTTCCCATTGATATTTATGACTGTAATTGATCAGTCTTTTGTTGGCATATGTGCATCCTGTGCACATTGCTTTGATGTAGCCTTAAGTTACAAGCTTTTTAATAAATTATATTTTTAAAGCTGTTATATTGAATATAACTATGGAATCTATTATAAAGACTGAGGCATTAACTTACGTATACTATATTGAGTGAAGTTTACACTAGACATAAATAATATTTGTCGATACCTAAAGATCAATTAATTGTAAACTTATCAGTTGTATGACTTTGATTCTAACAGACTAGAGAATATCAGTTCTTTCAAACTTTCGATTATCTCTTACTGACGAGTGATATCAGACACGAAATCTAAATTAAATAGCCTATCCTAACGACTAGTTTCAACTACCTAACTTTTTAACATAGTGCAAATCATGCCTAGTTACTTAGACAAGTAGTTATATTGCAATTTATTCAATATAATCTGACTATCACTAAAAGAGTAGGTGAAAATAAAAGTAGTCACTACCTAGTGATTAATCATTTATAGATTGCGCTACACTTTATTAACTGAATGAAATTGATAATATGAAAATGTGGATTTCTATTCATCGAATCAAATGGTATCATACTCATTATCAGGACAAAAAGTCCTGAGTTCCATTTTATATATGTGGTAGTGAGTGTTGCTATGAAGAATTTTTTAAAATTAAAATACAGTAACTATTCAGTGCACCCCCAGTTTTCTGTAATTCTCATAATTATGTCAATTTGTAAGGGAAACTCCCTTTATATACTTTAAGATCCTGTAAAATTATGCTTACTTTCGATTACAAAAAAATCTTAACTAACTAATTTTTTTAAAAAAATAGAAAGTTACAAATAGTTGTTACGAAAGAGGAATACAAAATTACCATAGTTTATCTCACAAACTGACTTCAGGTAAACAACCATTGAAAATCAAAGAGCATTGGATAACTCTTTTGTCCTAATATAGGACTCATCAGTACATATTCACAACCTCATCAATGATTCAACCCAGAACCTTCAGGTTTTTCTATTTACACTTATTATGTAATAAAAACTGGGTTGATATCCAATAATTTATATTATCTGATTTTGATAACATTGTGCAATCATCTTTTGATACTACGAGTGTGTAATTGCTTCAAATTCAACATTGTTGAATCCAACATGTCACAGCTTCTGATGACTACACAAAATTCAAAAACCCCTAAATTAACAAAATGTTCAAACAGCATAAGTTGAATTGTTTCTTTTTTTCTATTTGAATTGATAGTTTAAAAATTATCAAATTATCAGAAGGGGTTTGTGGAGATTTTTAGAAATTTCACGGATTGAAATCATGAGTCAATTGAAGCTAGACCACCTTGGAAAACCTAGAAGCACTGGACCGCCATTTCGTCTTAGTAAGGGACTCCTCAGCAGTGCGCATCCACGATCCCGCACCGTTGCCAGTGGAGTTCAACCAGGTCTGTTGTGAGATATCAACTCACTGAAGACAATGGTATACTGTGGCGCAGCTTCGTGGATTTGTTGAAGTCAGACATTAACACCACTGGTTGCCGGCCAGCTCAGTGGTCTAATGGTTAAGCGCTCGGCGCGAGACCAACAGGTCCTGGTTTCGAATCTTGCGGGTGTGGGATCGTGGATGCGCACTGCTAAGGAGTCCCATACTAGGACGAAACGGCCTTCCAGTGCTTCCAGAATTCCCATGGTGGTCTAGCTTCAATTGACTCATGATTTCAATCTGTGAAATTAATTAGTTAATTAAAATATATTAAATATGCACTAATCGAGTGATCTACAAACTGTAATTTATTTTCTCTAAAGTTTTAAATGTTCTAAATTCAATATTGTAGAAAGTAGAGTAATACGTAAACAATGAGAAGTAATGAAAAATAACATTAAACAATGTAAGTAATAATACGCCATACCGTATGATATCAGTCCAATTTAAAACCAGAATATTTACAAAAAGATGGATAGTGGCTAGTAGTGGAATCCAGGATGTGCGTTTCGTCCTATCTAGGACTCGTCAGCTGAATGTACCTGCATCTCAGAGTTGATATTCGCTCCGGAACTCGAACCCAGTACTGTTCGCGCGTCCTGGATTCCACTGCTAGCCACTATCAATCTTTGCTTATACTGCTTGTGATTTAAAGTAATATCGAAGCAATTCACATATGACGTATATATGCCAATAAGAGACTGATCAATTGCAGTCCGAAACATCAATTGGAAGATTCAAGTAAACAATACTAAGTGAATTCAGAATTCATACATTTTTCTCATTTCATTTCAAACTTATTATTATTGAGTGAGATCGTGAAAGATAATGAAATGAATTCATCATTTGGATTATTATGATATGATTTGTAAGCAGTGAACTATCTCAGTCATTCGAACACTGACCTTAAATCTAATCTAATGTCTAACCGTCCAATATAAACAACCAAGTGGTATTTCCATCCCTGACATTCACATACGCACACACACACAGCTTATGACCCAAAATTAATTATGTGGACATGTTTTTTTGTTGCCTAGAATCATTTGGATTGCTTGTTCAGCTTGTTGACAAATGTGAAATTCTTTAAAAGAAGTAAACATTCTAATAAATGCAATGAAATAATAAGAACTGTTTTCTTTAAGATAGAAAGGCATGCATAATCATATAACAAATTTTACCTTGTAGGATTTACTAACTGATTCGATGATATACCTCTATTATTGAACGGAACATGATTATTGATCATTGAACCAGTAGTATTATCAAATAAACATCCAACAACAGAATTGTTATTAGGATATTATTATTATTATTATTACTTGCATTTATTGCACCAACCATTTGATTACTCATTTGAGTTAAATGATGTACTGCAGCAACTGCAGAATATGCAGAAACCATTGAACCATTACGAGTACCATTATTTGTACTATTATTAGTATTACTATTATTATTAGTTGTATTATGATTACCCAAAGAATTAGGTGATATAGATAAAATATGATTAAAATTAGGATTATTATTATTATTATTTTGTGATTGTGAATTCATAAGACAACCATGTGATTGATTAGGTGTATTAATTAAAAAATTAGACTGATCCGATGGTGAATTAGAACATTCTGGTGAATTTTGATGAGGATTAGGATGATGAAGATGATTAACATTATTCTGCCGATTTTGTTGTTGTTGTTGTTGTTGAGCTATCCATGAACGTACTAAACCAAATTGATTAGTTGGATCTGTTGACATATCTAACATTTCATAATGATCACGTTTCAATTCTGAATGTTGTTGATGTTGATGTTGATGATGATGATGATGAGGTTGCTGTTGCTGTTGCTGTTGCTGTTGTTGTAACATACTGACACAATTAGTTGTAGATAAATGTGTATTAGATTGTGTAAAATAATTTGATGAATTTGATGTTAATTGATTTGATATAGGATATTGTGAATGTTGTTGAATAAATGAAGAAAAATTAGAATTTGTTAAATGTCTATCAACCATATTTAAATTTGTACATAATTCATTAGGATCACGTGATATTGTCGAAGAGGTAATTGTTCCTAATTGAGTAAATAATTGTGGTGTAATTGATTGATCTAATGAATTATGACTATTATTTGTTTGGTTAGTTACATCATGTCCATGTAATGATGCTGCTGCTACTGCTGCTGCTGCTGCTGATGCTGATGATGATGATAATAAATCGATATTTGTGGATAAGTTAGATAAACTCATTGTTGTAGCCATTGAATACTAATAATTAATTATTGCATTATATTCTATTAATAATAATTACTTTTAATTACCTGTAATAAAATGTACGATAAAATAAGTATAAGAGGTAGACAAACAGTTTTATGATGAGATTTGTGTATAGTTCAACTGAATTCGAAGGTGAGTTACGTCATTGATTAAGATAAATGAAAAAAAACAGGTATTATTGAAAAGCTTTCATGACTACTAATGTGATCTTACTAGTTTGTACCTACGATATCACCATGGAATAAACTTGAGATTTTTAAGTTTTACAACAAGAACCAAATTTCTGATCTGAAATCCTTTTCACCTTGAACTAAAATAAAACAACGGCGAGACTAAAATTTATGAACGAATCAATCAGATATAAGATAACAGGTCTCAGATTTCGGCGCGAAATTCACTAATCCATCTGGATAAATAGAGTCTTGGCATTATAGACGATGTCAGTTCGTGATGAAAACCCGAAATCTAATTCTTAAGCTTAATCGTCAACTGTAAATTACAATTCTAATTCCTTATACAAATTCATAACCCTCATTTGGTCCTGGTTATTAGGCGGACACTCTCAAGGTCAGTCTAAGGTCGCTCAAAGGTCGTCCATAAATTATAGTCTCACCAAATCAATCAATTATAAGCAAAATATCACACTCTGTATTACCAAAGCCAGATCAAATTATCAAAACTAATCATACTTTTACCTGATTCTACTCTTTACAGGTTCATATTAACCAACTATTAACTGAGTAAGGTTTGTAATTCATTCGTCTCTTATTATTATTATTGGCTTTATTCAATACCATATTTTTGGTACAATATTGAATCCTCAGCATAAAGTATTTCAACAAGTTTCCTTTCCTTATTTCTCCACCTATCCTGACGATAAATATTGAGTGATCATCAGCTAGATGTTAGCAGTTCAGAAATCGACATCTGAACAATGATTATTCTTTTCAATGCATGCGTTTCCTCTGTGGATTGTCTTGATATTGGCCACTTGGTCATGCTTTTTTGAAGTATATATGTCGTAACAGATGCTAACGTTCACCATTTTTAACGTATAACATTGTCAAATTCATCAATACATGCTTTATTTTGGCCTTTTTAAAATATCATAATTATGGACTTATAACTGTAGAGCCTAATGATGAAGTTATTGAAAACAATTATTCGCCCGAATATTTTTCCTTTTTAATCAAGTTGAATAGTATTTGACATTGAAATACAGGATAAGCGCTATAACCTACTTGGGATACTAGTTGTCCTATTACTGAGGCAATCCGTATCCTAAACAAAACTGATCATTTGTAATCGTTAACATTAGTGATAGAAATACATAAAATCTCACAAATAAAATTCATAATCGTTGTACACGATAGTGACTAGCTGGACTCAATATCTCGGTGGATAACGAGGTGAGTGTACGAAACGATAGGTACTGGCTTCGAGTCTCAGAATGAACATCAACAAAAGGATGTACAGATATGTAACACTGACCAGTCGCAAGTGGGGCGAAACACTCATTCTAGATTCCACTGCTAACCACTATTCAACTTTACTAAGAATATACTTACTAAGAAAGAAATACGTTATAACGTAAAAAGTTGGAAATTAAAAAGAAAAGTTTAGGACAGAAATACGTTGTGTTAACTAACAAAGTAATTGATGTATATCTTCAAAATAACGTCAATAACTCATCACTTCGCTTTGAGCCCTAGTTACTGCAAAAGAGTTATTCAGTACAAGTCAAGGAAGATTGGTTTAAGCAAGTAATACAGGTGCATGATACACGTACAATGAACTTAGATTTGAAGCAAGCATTTAAGATACTGTTATAACGAGACGAACATTGATAGAGTTGGGACTTTCGGAAGTATTTCTTACATCGTTACTACCCATATTTATACTGCATAAGTATTACAATTGCCCCCAAATGCCCTGTTACAGTCAAGGGTGTGGAGAGTCAGCTGTCTCTCTCTAAATGCTTCCACATCGCCATGCTTATACAGAAGCTCCTACAGAAGTCCCACTAACTGCCTTCTCGAGGCAGCAGGTGTTCATTACGAAATTCAGAGGACAAAAAGTGAATATTCAGAGTTTTAAGTGGGTTAGTGGATATGAAGGATTCACTTAGAGGAGTGTGAAAACCCTCATTCCAAACTAATGGCGAATATGGGCACCAGGAACCTGAGGGAACAAATGGTGTACGAACCAAGTGTTGATCGTCGACCACCACGTGACTGTATTTCCTGACGTTTCTCCACTGCCTTGTGGATCAGACTTTAGGTCGAAGGCTCCAGGCGTGGCCCCCTAAGAAAACCATCTGTTTCAGTTTGGGCACTCGAGCAGTATCACAACCCTCACACATATCAATGATAACTACTACTGGCCCCATTGTTATTGTGAAACGCATATATGCTTGCTGCCACCTTGAATCAATGTTTATGTGTTCAAATAAACAAATAAATAAATCTAGTGTGAAACTCTTCTGTAGTGTGTAATAACAATTTAAACTAGGGATCAGATACATAAACATCAGATCAAACATAGAAATTCGTTTTGATCAATTTTCTAAATTATATGCTCAATGTTAAAATGTCATTGTGAAGGAATGTTCATTTTAGACATTTTGCTATTGGGTCAATTATATATTCTGTTTAAGAGAATAAATGTTTTCAAAACGAAGGCTAACAAGTCATTCTCGTTCAGTAACTGCTCTCTATACAAAGAAACGTTTTATAATCTATCAATTATCTTTAACTAAAATCTGGATATCACTAAATATTTATTATGACCATTGTGAATACTAGAGAAGATTAAGTCAATGACAACGATAGAAAAGTACTCATGTAATGAACAAGAACACAGTTGGGGACAATCAATCTATATTAACACGAAAATTACAGAGTTCTTTGTAAAAAAATCATACGTTCGATAATTCATTTGCAAATCTTCCATCAACTGTCTCAAACTTCATCGTTCTTTTTATTGCCATAATAATTACTGTTTGTTCACGTCCTTTTCGATTTTATCTTCCCAACATTCTACTGTCAAACATTTCACTTCTGATTGGTTTTTATGTACTACTTATGTAGATATAAGTAGCATACACCATAATCGATTTATAAATACTCGATTACTTTAATCGTATTTTCCCTCAAGGCCAAAGGAAAAGAGGTAGACCAAATAACACATTACGCCGGGAAATGGAGATAGACATGAGAAAAATGAACAAATGGATGGAACTAGAAACGAAGGCCGAGGACAGAGTGGGTTGGTGAATGCTGGTCGGCGGCCTATGCTCCATCGGGAGTAACAGGCGTATGTAAGTAAGTGAGTAAGTATTACTTTAATCAAGTTATTATTCTATAAAATATTAAACTTAGGGAATTTACCTGAACTAATTTCATTGTCAAATTGTACACATATATCGTTAAGTTCTAACTTTAGAAAAGTCTATGCTTTGCGTTTTAATGGTTTATCTAGATTTAAAGTGTCAAGAAATCTTTTTTTTTCTTTTTACATCAACTATCAAACTTGTCAAAAACCTAAAGATGTTCCCGAAATAATCGATATTTTCAGTTGCCAACTATGTAACAAAAAATCACTGATTTCACTTCGAAATGATTCTTCGTTATATACTGTTGATGTATTTTTATATATTGACTGAAATAAATTTAAATTCACTTAGTACTGTTTACTTGAATTTTCCCACTGATGTTTAGGACTGCAATCGATCAGTCTCTTATTGATAGATGTGCATCCTGTATGGATTGCTTCGATATTATCTTAATTCACAAGGATTCTAAGCTTGGATGAATAGTGGCTATCGGTAGAATCCAAGACATGAGTTTCGTTTCATCTACAAGTCGTCAACTGAATCTACTTGCATCCTAAAGTTGATGTACACTATCGGACTTCAATCCAATACCGTTCACTTCAAATGTCATCGCGTTATTCACTTAGCTACCAAATTTAGATAGCCAATGGCTTGTGTAGTGGAGTGAAGTTTAAATTCATCTAGTATTGTGGCAAATCATTATCAGGACTCAATAGCTAAGTGGCATTTGAGGCGAACGGTACCGGGCTTGAGTCCCGGAGTGAATATCAACTCTAAGATGCAAGTACATCTACCTGAAAAGTTTCAAATAGGACGAAACAAATGTTCTGGATTCCACTAATAGCCACTATCTATCTTTGCTTAAAAATCAGTCTAGTTATTATAAAAGTATTAGAAAAGTGAATTATACAATTTATTGACTGATTAGTTATTGTATTTTCTTTCTCTATTAAATATTATTTCAGTTATCTAAATGTGATATCTAATATGAATTAGTTGTGAAATGATTGTAATAATAAATAAGATGAAAATATATGACTACATGCTATGATTTTCAATTTTAGGTTATGGAGATTGTTGAATTTCAATAAAATAATAAGCTGATCAATGTTAGTCCGTTATTGAAAATCTAGAAGCACTAAATGACCATTTCATCCTAGTATAGGACTCCTCAACAGTGCACATTCATTCGATTCCAGAAGTTTTAGTCTTGCATGTAAGATTGTGGATGTGCACACCTAAGGAATCCCATATTCGAACAAAAAACAACCATTCAGTGCTTTCAGATTTTCAATTATGGACTAACATTGATCAGTAAATGTTATAAATTTATGATTAGTCCTACTGGAGATTATTTATAATTGTACTTGATCTAGGACATATCATAAGATGTATGTAAGATATTAACTAGACTGTTTAATTTCCGAGCTTATTACATTAATTATATTCTGAACAATATTAAAAGCTCTACAACTGGATGATTTTTAATTTTTGAAGGATCCATCTAAATTATAATTCTTTTCCATCATCAAAATTATTGATCAAATAATGATAATGATTATTGATTTATGAACTTGTTCTACACAATTTTTATTCTCTAAAAAGAACAAAACTTCAATTACAAAACAAGATTAAATTATATATAGATCTT